TGTGGTTGTAGATCCACTTGTGGGGGAGCTGCCTGTGACATCCTTGGGCAGCAGTGTCCACCTTCCACTTCCTGAAAGGCAGGATGCTGGACGCTGCCCTAGCTCTGAGCAGGAGAGGCCTTTCTGCTGACTCTCATTCTCTTCCCTCTGCATCAAATCCACTGGCGTTCTAAGCACACAGAGTCCTGCAAGATTCAGTCTTGGGAGAATGCTAAGCAGAGAAGAGTTTTGGATTTCCCACAAAGGCAGCCATCTCCCTTTGTAAGGTCCTCAAACCTGATTGGGAACTATTCATAGTTGAAAATAATCAGGCACAGCCACAGAAAAAGGATATCACAGGACTTTCAGGCAGCTTAGCCACAATCATTAGTGAGAATTATGAGGGTACTTCAAAAAGTTCATGGAAAATGGAATTAAAAGATAAATTTACAGTGGAGCAAAAAGTTTTGAAATCCAAGTATATGAACTTTGCAAAGTTCATGAAAACTCTATGCTGAAAAAAACTATGGCTAGACTTTATCTTTTCATTTCTTTTTCCATTAATTTCTGGAAGTACCCTTGTACCCTTCGTACAGTTATGAACAGGCACACACTCACACATTCACACATACATATACACGGACTACAACAAAGTTCTCTCACACACAAAATTCCACTTTAGATACACAAGGCTTTCTGACATTTTCAGGTCTAAGCTTTACCAAATTGTCATCACACTCACCAACTGACTACATGAATGCCCAGTTTAAAGAACTTCCCAGTTTGGATGGTGTCCTGGCACAACAGGTTAAGCCACTGGCTATGATGCTGGCATCCCATATGGGTGCCGATTCATGTTCCCACTGCTCCGTTTCTGATCCAGCTCCCTGTTAATGCATCGGGGAAAGCAGTGGAGGATGGCCCAAGTGACTGGGCTCCTGCCACCCACATGGGAGACTCTGGCTCCTGGTTTCAGCCCTGGCTTTTATAGTCATTTGGGGAATGTACCAGGGGATGGAAGATCTCTCTCTGATTCTCCCTCCCTCTCTTGCTGTCACTCTGTATTTCAAATCAATAAATAAGTCTTTTTCTTTAAAAAAAAAAAAAAACGGCTTCCCAGTTTAGTTGTCTAAGTGAAAGGCTTAGCTTACACATATACTACAGTTATGTTACAAACATCTGGGTAAATAAATTAATGAATAAATTGAACTGGTTCCATGAGTCTGACATGTGGGGGTCTTCTTATTTTCCTCCCCTTTCTCTCTTCAAAAAATTTTTTCTTACAAAATTTATTCAAGAGGGAGGGAGGGAGGGAGGGAAAGAAAGGGAGGGAGAGAGAGAGAGAGAGAGAAAGAGAGAGAGAGAGAATTGAAAGAATTCTCATTTGCTGGTTCAATCTCCAAATGCCCACACTGGCCAGGGCTGGGCCAGGACTGTTGCCAGGAGCTGCAAACTCAATCCAGGGCTTCTACATGGGTGCAAGGGACCCAATTACTTGAGCTATCATCACTGCTTCGCAGCATCTGCGTTAGCAAGAAGCCAGTCAGGAGCTGGAGCTAGGAGTGAAACTCAGCTACTCAGATGCAGGACATGCGCGTCTTAATTGCCAGGGTAAACACCTGTTCCCTCCCTCCTCTCCCACCCCAGGAGCTGTGAGATTTGTCGTGTAAACACATTTGCTTCCTGTTGCAGGACTCCTGCAACAGAATCCCAACATGTCTTCTTGCTTCAGCCCTTGCCTTCCCTACATCTCGAAAATGCACCCATGACCATTCTCCTCACAGCTCCTCCATGTCGGCCCGTCACCTGCAGAACAACACGCCTGCCCCTCTCCGTGCCTTACGGTGCCGTACTGCCTGAGCCACTGTCTTCTTTGGGGGTGCATACTTAGTCAGACACTGCCTGGAAGCCTCAGCCCGGGTCATTGTTTCATGGTCCACGTTAGTGCTCTGGCTGCTGTCTCTTTCATCTGTCACACTCCTCTTGCTGTTTTTCCCCTGACATATTCTCATTTGTCTTCTACCAAGACGCAGCGAAGATACCATCTCCTGCATTCCAGGACGGACGATTACACAGCTATTTGAGTCTCTGTTGAGCAAATGCCTCCTCCTCTGGGATCACAAGCTCTTCAAGGGCAGAGATGGCTGTACTCACAATTTGTACCACTAGTGTCGCGCAGGGCACTTGGAACCCAGTGAGTTCTCCAAACAGGCCGAATAGAGCGAGAGCTACGTGAATCTGCTTGTTCTGCACTGACCTCAAGTCAGAAAGGACTGCAGTCCTTGATGGATTCCCAGCAAAGCTGGCCCCGTGATGCTTCTGGTCAAAGGTCTTTGGCAAAGGGACTGTCCACCTCCTGCAAAAGCTCTCTTGCTTTCTCTTTCCTTTCCTGGCTTGATTTATGGAGGCTCAGGGACATGGCTGGGTTTTCAGGGCCTTCTGTTCCACTCTATTTGAGAAGCCTGTGGCTACTGCTGCTGGGGCTGAGGCTGGGCTGAGTGCCAGACCCCAGGCTTAATCAATAACAAATCAATGACAGGAAATCGCATGCAGCTTGGACGTCTTCCAGATGTGGGTTTGGAATAGTGCTGGGAAGTCATATTTGGTCCAGAGTGATGAGTGAAGTATTAGGTCTCCCCATTGGAGGATATGAGTCCTAGATCAGACTGGACCACCCAAATCTCCCTGCATGGGCCCTGGGGGAAACCCGACTCCCCTAGGCTGCCCCATTCATACCTGCAAGAGAGTCCCATAGCCGCTGGTCCATGGTGGCAGCCTTCGGGATGGTGGAGATACAGGGATGCTTTTAATTAGAGGAGAGTAATGCCTCCCTTCCTTGGCAACGTAACCACATCCGGCTCGGGCGGTTTTGGTTCTTGGGAGCAGAGGGAAATGTGTGATGTGATGGGGTGAGTGTCTTTTGGGCCATGAACTAGCTAGAATTGCCTGGAAGACTGTTCTACTCTACTCAGATAACGTTTCTCCTTCCTTGAAGGCATAGCTTACGTGACATCCCCTCCAAGAAGCCTGCCCTGAGACCCATACACTTAAGGACACCCCCACTCTCTGGCCCTCTGGAATTACATTTGATCTGTTCAGTGTGATCCCGACCTCCATCTCTTGCAGACTGAAAGTGAGCACAGTGAATGTGCAAACAGTAGGGACTTAATACTGGTTTGTGGTGGTTGTAGTTATCTTTAATAACTGAGATAAAAACCAGCTTGTATATGGGCATGGCTGACGGTGATTGACAGTGACCATGATGATTGAACGAACCTTATCAATTTCTAGGTAGAAAAGTGGACAGGGCTGGGAGAAAGGGACAAGTAAATGACTAGAGGAAAGGCAGAAGCTGGTAAGGGGAGGGAGACAGCAAGTTGAGGTTAAAAACAACAACATAAAGACAAGTTTCAAAAAGGAAGGTGGCAGTAGGGAGCAATAAAACAATGCTAAATGCAGAGCTTGACATCCGGGTCTCTGAGCAAATCCAGTTACATCTCAAAGCCCTAGTCTCTCCTTTCCAAAATGTGCACAATGTTACATACGCCCTCCCTGGAGCAGTGTAAGGAGGTGAGAAACTCCAGAACAAGCAAGGCATTAGTTTACTGCTGCAATCTGGGCTCAGGCGCAGGGTTGTGGACTTGAATTTGTGTTTATGTTTTCTGAACAAAATGAATTATGTCTATTGATGTAGAGGAGGCACTTAAAAAATGGAGTGATGATTTACAATTGAAATGACTACTTTTCACTTTTTCCACTGACATACCTTAACGGGAGAAGAAAACAAGGCTGCTTCCTGTGAATCTATTTGACATGTCCTCCTCCATAAAGCTGGAAGATATCATGCCTCCCTCATTTGTTTTAAAACAAAAAGCTTTCTTTCCAGTTTGAGGAAACTCAAAGATCCGAGAAGATGAACCGTCCTGTAGCCTCTACACCCTCTTGGGCATTCTGCTCCCTTGAAGAGGCGCAGATGCAAATTTAAAAGAAAAATCTAACTTTGGGAGAGATGAGCTCTATAAAGGTACTTCAAAAAAGTTTATGCAAAAATGGATGAAATGTAACTTTTGTTCACACTAAAAAATGTAAACAATTGTTCAGCAGGGGTCTTCAAAACATTCTGTACATGGATGTCAAAAACTTTTACACCAAATTAGCTTATATTTTAATTCTATTTCCTATGAACTTTTTGAAGCACCCTAGGTTTTTTTTTTCTTATTATGATGCTTATTTTTAACAGCCTTGCTAAGTACTAGAAACGGTGGGGTACAAGTAAATTCTGCCTCCACTCCAGCTCTGGTGGAGCCGGACTCCAACTTTAAAGAACTGAGACACACAGGCTACCGAAATCTGACATCAACTAAGCTTAAGATTAGAGGATGAAAGCACAGTCTTTGCTCAGCCATATAGCGTGCTGGCTTGACAACCAAAACGGTCTTGAACATATTTCCGTAAAATGGCAGGATGCCTTATGTTCTGAAAGCCATTTGTGCATTTCACTCTGCCCGTTATTCAGAAATGCAACCAACACTGTGCTAAGATAACTTCAGAGACAGAACCCAATTCTGATCTTTCACTCCCTTACGATTGTCCGTGACTCCCAAGTCTCTCCAAAATAAAACCCCAACTTCTGATGCCAGCATGTGTTCTCGAGCTTAGCACAGGTTCCTGGCGAGTCCTTCTGTGCCTCAACTGCCCACATGACCTGAACCCCAGCGGTACTACCCATTTTCTTGGGGTTCCCTAAAATTGCCACCAACTCTTCTACTGCTGCAACCATCCTCTGCTCCCTGCAGGAGTTTCCCTAGAACGAACCTTCTCCCACTTCATCAGCTCAGCCAATTCTCATTCTTCTGCCCTCCTGCCACTCCCCCCGCCCAACCCCCTTTATTCGCAGCTCTATCTTCTGTGAGAAGTCCTCCCTGGCCACAAGACATCGCCATTCCTGCTGCGAGAGCTACGTAGGGCGTAGGGTTCCCCTTCTCTTTGTATCCTCTGTGTCCTTCTGACCCAGCACTTACCCCGGCGCTGGAATTTTCAGTTTGATCTGCTCTTCTGATTCCATCCACAGACACTGTCTTTGCTTCCCCTGCTCCAGCATGACGCCCAGAACCCCAGAGGGGCTTGAGTAATGTTTGCCTGGAGAACCAAGGAAGATTCCAGCACAGAGGCTCAAAGAAATTCAGAGCAGGGAGCAGATGATCCTCCCCTCTCTGCTTCCGGCTGCTAACACTGGAGAGGAACCTCACTGCTCCCCCGTGACCTGCAAGCCTCAGCTGAGATTCCAAGCCTCCACACTTCCTTTCTTCATTGTTTTCACTCACAGTACAAAGGAACACCAAGGATTTGCATCACAGCCTCAAAGTAAAGTGCCAGGGAGAAAGGATTCCATTCGGAGCAAACGAAACCACACACTTCCAATGAACCAAAGTCCTCAACTAGACGAAGCTACAAAGTAGAGTATGCTCCATTTACTCACATCATCAATAAGAGTCTTTTTAGTAGCAATCAGAACTTTCAACTCAGAAAAGACAGCTCAAGAATTACATTATAATTCCACTGGCCAATCTTTTGTTTGAAATTTCCAAGTCTTTCCTCTTACATTCCCTTCAAGACCATAAATATAGTCTAAAAACATTCCACAGTTGACTAAAAGTAGCAAAGATAATGCTTCTAAGAGACTCACTCCTCTTTGGTACCAAAAACGCGCTCTTGTCTAGTACAGGTACTAAGGAACAGATATTCTCATCGGTGTTTTAAATGTTACAAGGCTTTTCTTCTTTCTTAACTATGATTATTAATTGTTTTATAACACAAAAATTGGAACAGCAAATTTAGAGTATTTGAAATTAATAACCCCATGAGCAAAACAAACAAACAAAAAAAAACTAGGTTTTTAAATTCCCTTTGGGGTCGGCATTGTGGCTCAGGGGTTAGACCTCTTCCTTTGACACAGGCATCCCATATGAATGCTGGTTCCACTCAGCAGAGGATGGTCCAGGGGCTTGGGCTCCTGCCATCCACCTGGGATACCCTAATGGAGTTCTTGACTCCTGACTTTAGTCTGGTCTAGCCACAGCCGATGTGGTCGTTTGGTGAGTGAACCAGTCTGCAGAGAATCTCTCTCTCTCTCTCTTTCTCTCTGTAACTCTCTGTAGCATCTCTCTTTGGTGTAATGGCTTCTATTAGCAAACCCCGTGTATCACTAAACTACCAGCAAATTCTACCAGAAACCTGCTACGAAATTCTGCTTCAAGCATTTACAACCATTTCCTGTAGGCTTCCTATTGTTACCTCTTGACTTCTGGTCATGCTGTGAAAATAGATGGGAAACAATTCACAGCAGTGCTTGGAGATGCTTGTCTGGGAAAGTGGAGGAGTATTTATCACTAATGCTGATGTCATTGTCATTTCTGAAATTCCAGCCTTGGTCACTCTCCCATCTGGGTATTTTTCTAATCTGCAATTCTCTCTTCCGGCTGTCTCTCACTACCCACACACCTGACCTCTGGGGGAACCACTGAGTCACTTCCTGTCCTTTAAACTTCCTCTTCTGTGAGAGCCTTGACCTGGGAGATGTGATGGGAATGACCATGGCCAGCAGGAGAGAGTGGCCAAGAAGGCAGGTGGAGAGAGATATGGGCCTGCAGGTGGTGAGAGGGAGTTGCCAGCACTGTGGATTTGTAGGAGATAATTATAGAAATCAAAATAAAGACACAAGCTGTGCATTATTTAATGCTTGGTTTACTGCCAGGAACCTGACTCCACTCTTCAACTGGCCGGTGATTATTTGCAACTTCAGGAAGAATGGAGGGAAAAGGAAACTAAAAGTAAATCCATCAATCTCACATTTATGAGAAGTCTGAGTGGGCAAATCTGAGACCTGATCAAGAGAAAGTGGTTGGATGGGCATGATTTTATTAAGATCCCTGACCATATTTGTCATTAGGAATTTGTTAATTTATAAAGTCATTAATACATTGGAGATAGCATACGAATCTTAAGTTCTCCAGGCCAATTTGAAGAACAGGATATTTTACCTTGGTAAAATTTCTTTGTTAAACTAAGAATTATAAAGTAATATAACAGCAGAGATTTAACAGTCACATGGGTGGGCTATAATTCCCAGCCTCCCTTGTTGTTAGTCAACACCAAAAGCATATGGTGAATGTGTCATGTGATCTGCCACCTGTTCCCCTTCTCTCTCCACCAGGGTTTGCCCAGTGCCCAACTGTGCAGAGCCCAGGTGATCTCAGAAGCTCTATGTGGGGGTAGTGGAGCTTCAGTCAGCCAGGATGTGTTTCTCAGTGTGAGTGGGAAATCAACTTTTAATTGGTTAGTATTTATACACATCTTGAGGATAGGGATCCCTGCCTTATCTGATGTCCATTCACCAATGGCTAATATATATCTGGAAAAGAACAGGTATATGGCTAACTGTTATGGAAATAATGAATATTGAATGAGTTATAGGAATACTGGCATATTAAAATTGAAAACAGAGAGTTAATTCTGAGGAAAATTTCTAGGTATTCTTGGCCACTACACACACACACACACACACACACACGAGCTCACTCTAAACATTCCTCAAGAACTCTTTTGTATTTTCCATCTATTTTTGTTTTCATGGAAACCATTCAACTTTCAATACGCACCACACTAGGACAGATTGGGAGCAGCTTCTTTTGAAAAGGATGCAGGCTCCCCCCACCTCCACTCCCACCCCACACACACACAAAAAAAAGACTATTCAGTTGACCAAATAGGTTTGCTTCACTGTTCATCCGTTTTAGAGAACAAAATGAATTGAAAACATAGTCTGGTGTTAGCAAGACATTTACGGCAGATCCGTTGAGGGGATACTGACTGGGTTAGGAAGGCTTCCTTGTTTCCTGTGTTCTTCATAAAGAAAGCTCTTGAGCCTGTCAGACTCATGTATGAAAGTGACAAATGGTGAGACACTTTGCCTTAATAATAAAACCCTCCACATTCCTGTGCTTTTGTATTGCCTTTCAGGCTAAACTTGATTTCTAGGTTGAAGACTATAAAGTGACACTAGGTATTTCCTTTTCTAACTCACTGTTTTTGGTTTTTTTTGTTTGTTTGTTTGTTTGGTTGGTTGGTTTTTTTACAGGCAGAGTGGACAGTGAGAGAGAGAGAGACAGAGAGAAAGGTCTTCCTTTGCCGTTGGTTCACCCTCCAATGGCCGCCGTGGCCGGCGCACTGCGTTGATCCAATGGCAGGAGCCAGGTACTTCTCCTGGTCTCCCATGGGGTGCAGGGTCCAAGTACTTGGGCCATCCTCCACTGCACTCCCTGGCCACAGCAGAGAGCTGGCCTGGAAGAGGGGCAACTGGGACAGAATCCGGCACCCCGACCAGAACCCAGTGTGCCGGCGCTGCAAGGCGGAGAATTAGCCTAGTGAGCCGCGGCGATGGCCTCCTTTTCTAACTCACTGTTACCGATTATTGGGACAAACACTTATACCTGCCTACCATGTATAAGTCAATTTTTCTAAACTCTATCTTTAGGGTTCACTTTTGTCATTTAAAAATGTTGCCTTTCCTTGCTTTTTACCGTTCAAAAAATGTACCATACACAGTCTGATATATCACAAAAATCCATAAATAAGAGTTACAAATCAAGATTTGTTATTATTCCTTTTGTATATTTTTGAGAAGTGATTTCTAATTTGGTTGGAATCTCCAAGGTGGCCGTACCTTTTGGAAAACTGGTATTTAATGGCTAGACATAGAAGAAGGAAAGCAGGGTGGAAATGAGGAAGGAAAGAAGGAAGGAAGGGAAGGCAGGAAGTGAGAAAGTGAGAAGAGATCCTCAATCTGTCATCCTTTCACATTACCTAAACAAACCCCGCCCTCCCTCTGGCCCTATGACAGTGTGGCAGGAGTCCACCAGAACACCTATTTGGTCATCTCCTGGCTGTATTTGAACCTCCCTCCAACAAAGAAAGAACTTGTTTGCCTTTCTTGTCACACACTGGTGCCTTTATTTGCAGACAATGCTCAGTTCACAGCTATTCCTCTAAAAAGAGAAGTGGACACTTTTCTAACATAATTCTCTGCAGGCTCAGTTAGTCCCCTAACTACAAAAGGGTTCTCGGCACCTGCTCTCCTTACCTTTGTCCTGGCCTCCGTGTTCGGAGTTTCTAGCAGGCGCTCCATAGGAGTCCTTCATTGAAATTCACCATCTTAAAGCTCACCTCCTTTCAGTTCAACCTACTCTAAACACTCTGAAATGCTACTGTCCAAATCAGGATTTCAAAGCTAACCTTAGATTTCTGAGAAAGTGCTGACGTTCCATCATGGCCTAAGCGCACGCTGAACAAGGATTCAGAGATAAGCATGAAAGCCAAACCCCAAATATATTGAGGCGTACGGCTCTCAGCACGAATGCCGTGTCAGAGTAAAATAAAGGATGTACAGTGGCAGCACTGCACTCATTTCTCAATGTGCCCAACCAATGATATAATCTTAAAAACATCCAGGCATCCAAAAACAAAAAACAAAAAGCCCAGTGTTATTCCAATGCATTATTATACTCAAATTTCCAAAAAGATTTTGGAATTTTGCAAACAATTTACAAGGTATGATTACTATAATAAGTTATGATGTAAAGTTACTAAACTGATCTTGTCAAAAACTACATACAGACACGATTTTCAGATTTTTAAATGCATTTTTCTTTGGGATGCTCTGACAATTAGCTCATTATGGATTATTAGATAGAGAACAGTCATTTTCCAAATGCTTTTAATTTTTTACAAAATACTTGATCATAGTCCAATTATTGTCGTTACCAAAAGACTTATAAAAATTTCTTTTCGATTTTTAGAAGTGTATATCTTCACACAATGAGAGAAAAAAAGAAAGCTTACAGAAGGCAAAGGCCTTGACCTGGCAGTTGGATGCCTCTTGAGCTGCTTATGTCCCATCTCCAAGGGTCCATGTTCAAATTCCTGCTGGAGGCTCAATTCCAGCTAATTTCCTGCTAATGTGTGCCTTAGTTGTGTCTCTGCCATCCACCCACATGAGAGGCCTAGACTGAGTTCTTGATTTCTGACTTTGGCCTGATGCAGCTCCAGTTGTTGAGAGGAATCTGGGGAGTGAACCAGAAGATGGTAGCGCTCTCTCTTTCTGTCTCACAAATAAGTAAAATTAAAAAAAAAAAAATTCTTTAACAACAAATAGAACTAATCACTGCTCCACAGAGTCGAGAGGTTGTCATGAAATGTTTCGACACAGTGGCTTGGTAGCTGTGTGACTTTGGCCACAAAGCTTGGCACTCCCTGATCTTAGTCTTCTTGCCAGAAAAAAAAAAAAAAAAAAAAGAGATCTCCTTTACAGTCCTTTAAGGGCACAGAATTCTATGATTCTTGAGATATTACTGTGGACAGCACCTGAAATCTGCGAAGCAAGGTCACCTTGGAACAATGTCAGAGGGCTCTAGAGAAGACAAACCCTGCACAGACATTCTGGCTACGTGGTTGTAGACCATGGCCCCACGCATGCTAAGGGAATCCAAGGAAACCGAGCAATTGCTGCAGGAAAGTTAAGTTCTGACACTCTTGGCTGCTAGGAAGGCACGGTTGGCCAGCTCCAGGCCAAAGGGCTGACATGACTTCATACTGTGGTCTCTAACCTAGCCCGCTAAACAGTCACAGGACCCACAGGCTCTGCTGCTGCATCTTGGTCGCTGGCATCAACCCTTGCTGGGTCTTCTTTTTCAATTTGATTCTTAAATACAGCGTTGCTAATCTCTCCTTGTTTTATAATCCATTTCTAATAAAACTGAGAAGACAGATAGGATTCTGACTACAGTGAGATGAATAAAGCTGCCTTAAAAGCAGTCAGTTATTCTAAGACAATTATTAAAACGTCTGGATAAATGACCTCAGACTGCACTCAGCTTGCAAATCAGGCAGTCTGGCCTCGGTGCTCATGGCTTTGGACTGCTTTCTCTGAAATCAAGTTCAGGAGTCCGTGAACTTGACTGTTTCTTTCTTAGTGGCTCCCATAGCATTTGACAGTGTCAGGCACATAGCAGCATGGAGAAACTTGTTGGCAATTCACTAGTTACTACTGAAAAGGAAAAAGAAAAAAAAAAAAAAACATTCTAGAGCATGGGAAGGCTTTAGGCATCTTGTAGTTTGGAGATAAAGATTCCCTATAACTGCAGTATTTCCTAACCAGAGAATGCACTACTTAGAAGCAAAAACAATGTATTAATAACTTGGCTTCCATTATTCCTTAATATATTAATCATCATGCATACTTGTTAATGGTATTTATTAAAGGTTTGTGATTTTTTAGAAGGTTGCACATATTTTGAGGCATCTTTGTGAATGTTCTCTCTCATATAAATTGAATGAGGAAGGTTTACAGGAACTCACAAAATCCATTTAATTATTTTTAAAATTCTTTCATTCGCCATTTAAATATTCTGCTAGCAGGTATCTATATCGCTACCATTGATACTGAGTGCCAGGGATGATGTACAATGGTTCGCTTAATCCTCACAGGAACTTTTAGGAAGGTCTTATAGTAGAAGAAACCAAGTCTCAAGGAAGTTAAATAGGGCACTTAAGGTCACAGATGGGGATGCTGCAATTCAAAGCAACAACTTTGGCTGTGATTCTAGTTGTCATTCATAGCTAAATGGGAACAAATAGATAAGAAAACCACAACAGGTTTCCAAATCCTTTAGAAAGAAAGTAGAGATTATAAATAAAAATGCGACCAAATGGGGAGCTAGCATTGTGGCAGCTGCTGCCTGTGACGCCGGCACTCCATATGCTCCACTTCCGATCCAGCTCCCTGATCACGTGCCTGGGAAAGCAGCAGATGTCTCAAGTGGTTGGGCCTCATGGGAGACCCAGAAGAAGCCCCCGGCTCCCGCATTCAGACTGGCTCAGCTCTGGCTATTGTGGCCATTTGGGGAGTGAATCAGTGGATGGAAGGTTTCTCTCTCTCTGTAACTCTGCCTTTCAAATAAATAAATATAACAAATAAATAAATCTTTTTAAAAAATGCAACCAAAAATAAGAAAAAAAAAATTGCTTAAATAATTGCCCTGGTCATTTACCCATAGTTTAATCAGTCACTAAATCTCTATGAGGGTACTTCAAGAACTTCATGAAAAATATGGATTATGAAAAAAGGTGGATTATGAAAAATGTGGATTCTGCCTGAGTGCCCGGTCACCCTTGTGTCGCTCCGAGGCAGTTGCTATTCTCACTGATTGGAGATGAGCAATCAGAAATTCACAGCGGAAGGAAGGCACACACACAACCAAGACCGTGTCGGGAGGCAAACCTGAATCTCCCACTTCCCCAGCAAGCCACACTGCTCCACGTTGCCTCGCTGCAGTGTTTGTGTTGGCTGCCACACAGCCTTTGCAGCAGGAAAACAAAGACTCCAGAAGAAAAGGAAAGAGCTGAACTTGAGGGACACACAGAGAAAGTGCACAGATCAGTTAAATAAATGAGGAGGCTTATCCCATCATCGGTACTATTAATTAAATTTAGTTATCTACCAGCTAAGTGCTATGCAGCTCCATGGTGATTATCAAGGCAGTCAGGATTTCAAATGGCACTGATAACTGAGAGTGATAGGATTATGCATTTTTTCCCTCCAGAGCTGAAGCAAAGAAGATCCTTTAAGCTGAGGTTTTC